TGTCAAGCGTAGGGTTCTGTTTAGCCTTAACTCCTTTCTCCAAGTCCATTTTTCTGACTCACATACTTACAGGGAGAGCCTGTGTTAAATCAACCTGTGCTCCAGCACCCTGCTCGTTCTGTTGTGTCTTCTCCATGCTTGGTGCTGGCTGAAGTTATCTTTATTGACCACAGGTGGCTGGAGTTGTCTGTAAGAACTCCCCAGTACACCAGAGTGATAGTAGTGATAGTACCCCATCAGTGCTGTGTAACATCTTTAAAAAAAGTCTTGACTAAGAATATCTTTCCTGGCATACACAAGGGTTTCTATATGCCTTTTACACAGCCACCTGATCGTAGCAAATTTTGTTAGTTGCAACTTGTATTACCCAAACATGGAACTCAGTATTTGGCAATTACAAAATATTTGGGATGAAGTTGTATTCAATAAAATAATTTCAGGCACTTTCAAATGCTGAGTTCTCCATACTGGCTCTTCTGTCCCTCATTTTATTAACACACCCAAACCTTCTATAACCTGCAAATTTCACTGGCAAACTACACCACTAACATTAGCTTGCCTGGCAGCCCACCACCTCGTTTCTCCCTTTTCACTGTACAAGTGCTCTCTTTTCCTGTATCAAGTCCTAACTTTGTGTGTGGTACCTCAGCAAATGCTTTGCCAAACTCCCAAAAGACCCCCAAAGACCCCTAGGAGGGAAACATAGTTCCTTTCCACAAAAACAAAGCAAGCTTACCAAAGACAAGTAAATATGTCAGAAGATTTATCTGAGGCTAAATCTACTTTGCCTTTTGTCCTAGGTAGTTGCATGGGAATTTTTATTATCTTCAAAATATATTACAACGTTGCACAAATATTGGGGTTCAGATTAATGCGTTTTCATTGCTTAGCCTATTTTTCTTCCCTCACTCTGCTTTCTTTAATATTATTCTTAATAGATAAATGGTTGGGCTGCAATACATTATTGTTCCCATTTAAGAGTTCAAATGATGTCGCTAGATCAGCTGTCTAAGATGACACAGAAAGAGGACAGAAAAATGATAATTAGATTTCTCCACATATCTGGTTCTTAGGAGGTAATTACAGTTCTCCAAGTCATCACATACCAGCCCAGTTATATAATCCTGTTTTGTTTGTTGAACTTGTTTGAGAGCATTTGACTTGAGCTTGCTTTCTTTCTTAGTCATCTGTATCACGCCCAGAGAAACAAGCCTTTGAAACACGTACACACACACACAGACACTCAGAGAGGTGTAGTACAGATTACACCTACCCTCCCTCGATCTCCCATTAACATCACTTTTTTGTCTGGCAGCAGGGGGATGGGTATGAAGTCAGTCACTGGAATAAGAGAAATGAGGAGTAGAAACCCGGACAGCTGCACATGGTTTGTTTGTCCAAGGAATTGCCTTCTTCCCCACCACCCCTTCTTCACTCACTCTGGTCTAATCCCTAAAGCAAAAAACCTCTTATTTTATAGTTTCCAGAACTGTCTGGTCAATGCCAACATAGATTTTCCCTTTCTCAATGAATAATACATGGCATAAGAAAACTTAACAGGCTTAAAGGAAATATTATCCTAGGAGAATACAACCAAGGCCTGAATTTAGGCATCTCATCTAGTGGTCAAACATTGGAACAGGCTGCTCAGGGAGGTGGTAGAGTCACCATCACTGGAAGTGTTCAAAAAATGTGTAGACGTGGCACTTCAGGACATGGTTTAGTGGGCACAGTGGTGTTGGGCTGATGGTCGGACTTGATGATCTTAAAGGTCTTTTCCAACCTTAATGATTCTGTGATTCTTCCTGGCTACTGTACCTGTTTCTCCACTATACAGGCAGAAAATACCAATTCCTTTCCTCCGTAATGAAATCTTACAGAAGTTCCTGAAACTGCTAGACCTTTAAATAGAAGATACCACAGAAGCAAATAGTGCTTATTTCTAGCAGGGTAGGGGAAGGTACTCAAGCAAAAGAACGGTTGGAACACACCTTCGTCACAACTGGACGGCAACCCACTTCTTTCAGTGAAAACTCACAAGCCTCCTATATCCTTACATGGAAAGAAATACCTACTTTCGTCCTTTACATAAATTCTGATCAAGAAAGTTTAAAATGCATATTCATTATTACCAGCCAGCCAGGTTGTCAGAGTTCACTTATTATGGTTTGGTTAATGAACCTTAGGTCTGAGTAAGAAATTCTGCTTCTATTTTTTTCTGAGGAGTTTTAAATACTTGCTCAAAATTATATCTACCCTTCCAAATGCTTAGCAACATTACAAAGTACATTAGTGTTCACTACTGGCTACTAACTTGGATTCCAAACAGATGTTTCCCCAGTTTTCCAGATTTCCTTGCATTTTGGGCACTCATCTGTTATGCATCCCCTGATCAGACATAAGTACCTGAACTTGCTTAATAATTTCCCAAGCAGGAGAAAAAATAGGCTTTAGGAAAAATAGGTTCAGACATGAGCACACCATTTGCTTTCTGATATTTGCCAAACAAATGTTGATTTCTACAGTTCAAGAGACTGCACGTTAGATCATTCTTCCCTCATCTGGGAGTTGGGTCGCTATTTTTTGATCAAATCTAACCATGTTACCACTGTAGCTCCAGTACAGTCCATGCAAATTTTGAAACAGATTCTAGACCCACTTTCAGACATACCAGAATCAGGATTAAAAATATCTAACAAAAAAATCTGCTCCCTATTCCTTCCCCTGCCTTCATACAGCATGACTTCTGCTGTGCTTAAAAGTCTGGTCACAGCATCAGAAGTTAGCATGGCAAGAAGTTAATACTGTAACAGCATTTGTTCTTTGAAAGGAAGAGTTGCTACACAGACAGCAACATTTGTTTCAGCAATGGATGGTAAAAGGCATTACATGTAAGGAAAGCACATTCTTCCTGTATCTTTGTACTTTCAACATACAATATAAGGGTTCCTGAAAAGAAGTTCCCACGCGTATATATGTACCACTGGTTTCATCTGAATTGGGAGCACACTTTTGAAGCAAGTCTCCTCATCTTCTCCACTTACCACATTTTGGTTCACAGTGCAGAGAGGTTTCAGAATATATGCTGTTTCATCCAAAAGATGTCCAAATGGATGCATTGTTGAAGATGTGTTGCTAAGATGCACTCCAAATGCAACGAGCAGCCAGTTCATAAGCTAGTCAAGCAGACAAAAGTAAAACCTCTGAAATACATGTAGTGTGGGAAGTGAGCTACTCCTACTGGGTGGGATGCACTGCTTGGTAATGTAGAGAAAGTGTGCATCCACTTTCCGGGATTCATTTTCTATCTCTATGCAAATCCTCCATACATGTCAACACTCAGGTCTCTAGCTACCCATAGCTGTCCTATTCTGCCAGTGATCAACAAAGAGAGAAATCTAACTTTAAATCAACAGGACGTTTCTTCTAATGGATGTTAGTGTTCACAGCAGCTTCTAACTTGCCTTGTGGCATTCCCCACCCCCCCAAACTTAAATACACAAACATTAAGAGTCCATTTTTAATCCGATAAATACTTCTGTGGAATAAGCAAGAAAAGACCCTCCATTCATTAAGTCCACTCTGTTTCCAGTCCCACTGTTAAAAGAAGATCACCTATATCAACATTCTTGATGCTTTGCTGCATTTCTTCATTAAGAGGGGATTGAGATTGTCCTGTGCTGTAGCCAGAGAAAAGCAGCCACATGACTGCTACTGGTATGCTTGGGGTATGCAGGATGCTCTCCCCACTACCACTACTTATTCTTTAGCATATCTCATATTACATGGTGAGGATGGATATTTGCTGTTGCCTAACAAAGCCCTAACCTCTGGAAAATTGGAAGCCAAGTACAGAATACAGTATTTGTGTAAAAGATGACAACAATAGAATCACAGTTTAGACCATTTTTTAATGGTCTGTATTAAACAGGTTGAAAGCTGTATCTAAAACAGAGCAGTTTTGTACACTTTCTGAAATGCTGAATATTCAGGTAGGAAAAAAAAGTTGATCAAAGCCACTGAGGAAACCGGACATTTTCCCCACCATTGCTTGCTGTTTCTGAAATCACCTTAGAGCTCTTTATCACTGATAAAGAGCTCTAAAGACACAGCTCAAGCTAAAATGAGTATAATTCAGTTGGGACTCACCAGAAATAATATCATCACTATTACAATCAGAAGTTGGTTCATGGTACTGTCCATGTTGTTTGAACTGAATTAGCCCTGCCTGACAAGAATCCCGCCTTTCCAGAATGCTGCCAGGCTCTTCCAACAAAAATAACTCAAGGAGTCCTAGCTAGCTCTCCCAATATAGTGTCAATCCGCTGATATCTTTTACCAGCCACCACCACCAAGGGGTAGGTGGAAAGTGAGACTGATGTACAGTTGCTGTGTTTCTGACTTTGCTTACCAAGAGCCTAACTCCAAATATGCCATTTGTTTGTTTTTGTTTCTAAATGTTTTCCTGAAACCCATTCTTTTAAGCTGACATCTGTTCCTTCACTGGATTGCACTGCATGAAATGCCTGTGTATTTACCAATTACTCACACAATGTACAGCTCATGAAGTTTTCCACATAGAAGACAGAGGCTTTGGAAAAAAAAAACAAAAAACCAAAACACAAATGGGAAGTAGTATAGTGATATTTCCAACACAGATTACTTTTCTCTCTTTCTTTGTTTGGTTGGGGTATTTTTTGTTTGTTTAGTTTTTTTAAATAAAATTTCACCTGCAATATGTTCAGATCATAATTGTGATAGAAGTTTCTTATTGCTCTTTGGTTTGGCCTCTGAACAACTGTATTTCCTGTTAGAGTATGTCTCAATACAAGAAATCAGCTGTTCTACTTTTTTTCCTTTTTAATATTATTGGTCACGAAAAGATTCCTTTTATTCTAGTGATAACTAGTCAAGTAAGTTTACTCTATTAAAAACAAAACCAAACCATTTTGGCCATAATTTCCCCTTCAAAATAATTTATGAAGCAGTACCTCTTAGCCTTTTATTTGTATAAATTATACAACAACTATAGTTTTTTTTAGACAATGAGATGAATCTGTATTTAGTACTTCAATCATCGTTCTCAGGGTTGGAAAAGTCTCTGATACTGATGGTAGGCTCTTGTAAGAAGGTGAAATACTGAAAAAGGAGAAAAAAAGAAAATTATTTATCTTTTGCTGAGTTTTACGATTTACCTGGAAGTTAACACATTAGCTTATACTTCTCTTCATCCTCTTCTCCAACAAATTTAGGACTTGAAGTCAAGAATCTGTTGCCCACAACCAGCTCTTGCTTCTCACGACTCCTTACTCACTCTACAGAATGAAAATAATGACTATATAAAAGAGCCTTCCCAAGTGGCAGGAGTTAAAGCAAAATTTTATTGCTTTTAGTCTTCAATCCTTACTTACCTTACCTCCTATTATTCTTCTACTACAGACAAATTAGCCACTCAGGGCAATTGCCTTCATATTACTACTTCAAGCCCTTTGGGCTGTGGTTATACAGGTATTTTTCTCAGCATCAAGGCCAACTTTATAATTTTCTGATTCTGGCTCACTTCTCACCCATTATACATCTCTCATTTGAGCCAGCAATACTATTGGTGGGACTATGCTATAAAATGATCTCAGTTAAAAAAAAAATATTGGTTTTGACAAGGTTATTTTTAACACAAATCACTTCCTGGATCTGGTTTGCTATGGATTCTCCCAAATTTCAACAGTACAACTGAGAGAGTCAGAAACACAGAGGTGGGGTTGAAGTGGCTTAAGCTGACTTCGCTCCCAAGAAAGAAGTTTCCCATTGGTAAAGATATGTCTTAAAAAAAAAAAAAAAAAGAAAAAAATAACAGATTATTAAGAAGGAAGTTGAGTATATAAATCGTGAGATTTACAGTAAAAAATGTGGGAACCATAAATATTTTACAAGACAACCAAGTCACAATATTTGTGCAGTCGACTTTTAATAAAAACTGCAGCTTGCTACACTGTAGTTTAAAAATGTCACTCACAAATGCTGAATTTGACTGCATTTACATAAAGATTTTTAGCCTGAGTCTTACAAAGATGCCCTTGAGTCGTCTTAATAGATTTTCTAGTCTAGTGAAATTCACCAGGCTTAGAACCACCAAAAATGAAGTTAAACAACACTAATCAGTATGAGATCTTTGGCACTAAAAGCAGCTGCAGAGTTCCTCAGGCACCCTGAATAACTCAGGTTGGACCAGACCTCAGCCTCCTCACTGGCAGGGCAGTATGAGAAGCCAAAAAGTCCTTGACTTAGCATAAACACCGCTTAGCAACAACTAAAACATCAGTGTGTTATCAACATTATTCTCATCCTAAACCTGAAACACAGCACTACACCAGCTAAAGAAAATTAACCCTATCCCAGTCAAAACCAGGACAGGTCTGTGATCTAACATCCTGCTTAAAGCAAGGTGAACTGTAAAGTCAGACCCAGGTGTCAGGGCTTTATCCTGTCAGGTCTTGAAAATCTCCAGGGACAAAGACTGCACAGCCTCTCTGGGCAGCCTGGTCTGCTGCTTGACTACCCTGAAGACGACTGTGCTCAGTCTGAACCTCGTTTCAACTCATGCATGTTGCCTTTTGTCCTCCCACCAGGCACTGCCTAGCTCCATTTTCTCAATACAGGTATGCTGTTGGGTCACAGCTGCCTCCTTTCCAGGCTGAACAAGCCGAGTTCACTCCTGTTAAGGTATATGCTCCAGCCCCCTGACCATCTTGGTGGCTCTCTACTAAATTTGCTCCAGTTTATCATAGTCTTTACTGCAGCTGCCCCCAAACTGGATGCCGTATTCTACGTGTGGTCTAAAGTGCCGAGTACCCCCTAAACCAACTATCGAAACAGTTTTTTAACCATCTAGCTGTCCATTCGTCCAGACAAGAATGTGCTATCATGGTATGACAGTATTGTGGGAGTCCTTGCTGAAGTAAAAATAAACATCAGTTGCTCTCTTCTGATCCCCAAATCTAGTCGCTTTTATCACAGAAAGCTATCACATAGGGTCACACAACGTTTGGGAAACCCATGTTGACTGTCCGCAGTCACCTTCTCCTTCATATACTCTGAAATGCTTTCCTAGACAACCCACTTCATGACTTTCCCAGAGACCAAAGTGAGGCTGACCAGCCAATAGTTTCCCCTGGGTCATCCTTCTGGCCTTCTTGAAGATGGATGCAAGAATTCCTTTCCTGCAGTCACCAAGAATGTCCTCTGATGTGCACAACTTCTCAGAGATTATAGATGGCCTTGTAAGGACATCTACCAGTTCTCTCAGCACCCTTTAAGTGTCTTGACCCTGACTTGAAGGATCCTAAAACTGGTTTTGTCTCTGGCCCAATTTTTAGATTTTGTATGGGGAATAACCACTAGGGGACAAATAAAATGAACCAGATTCATAATATTGACAAGGAATTATTGTGTTGAGTATTCAAAAAAATCAATTCATGTGAAAAATCAAAATTTTAAAGCACTATACAAAAGTCATGCAGTTATACTAAGTAACATAATTCTGTGTATTCAAAACTTCCATGTACTTTGAAAATACTTAATTCTCTAAATTAAAATAGCACTAAAGAATAAGGAACTTACTTTTGATATATAGTCTGAAGAGATCCTTAAAAATGAAAAAAGTTAAAATTTTCCCCTGCTTTGTTCATTCAATCACCAGATTTACTAATGATAAAAAATTAATAATAAAAAGGCAAATTTGACCACTGGACAAAATGAAGAAAATATTAACCCAAATAATTTTCTCAGAGAATAACACTCACATAACTGAATGTCTAGACTAACTACTCTTTTAGACTAGAAATAAACTACTGTGTGTGTAAATTCAAATCTTGTCTTATCAATTCCTAAATGGTGTTAAAAAATACACTGAATCATTTACTAAACTCATAATTTCGAAGTAACATGTTTTTAGTATAGGTTTAGATTTTACATACAAAGTTTTCCATATTTTATTTCCCCACCCCCCACCTAAACAAAAAGATTTACCTTTTTAGATTCATCCAACTTCTTGCTATTTTGCTAAAAGCTTCAGACCCTGGTGCTGTCATTGCTTCAAAATCAACCAGCTGAAAACGCAACAAGGTAAGATCTTAAGAAATTAGAGAAGTTTTATGTTCTCTAATTTCAGGAAGTTAATTCACAAATATGCTTAACATATAAATTCAACTTCAAAAAAATACCCTTCCTTTTGTGACAAAATCCAGTTATTTTGGTTTTTTGTCTCTTAAGATGTTTATACTAATGAGTCAGTGCCAGAAAATACTGATTGTCTTCAGCCCTTTATTACAATGTCCAAATAAAATGTGGATATTTCTCATTTCAACATACCGCATTCTGCAAAATATTGTATCACATGATTGGTAGATTTATATTGGACTTCCCAGGCATTCTGTATTATTTCTTTCCACAGTGGGTTTTCAGACAAGTTTGACTACATATAGCAAAGAACTCTGTGCAACTTCATACCTACAGCTGAAAGCAAGTTTTCAGCAAAACAATGTTCAGTCAAAAACATTGGTTCACTAGTACTGAAACATTTAAGCTGACATGTTTGTGGTTCAGTGAACTTTGGCTGAATTCAAGGAAAGGTTCTGAAAGCATGCTACTACATTCCTGGTAAGACAAGAGTAAACTTACTAACTAGTCTGTCCCCAGACTACTTTGTCCCTCATCACCTCTTTGGAAGTCAGCATGCATGCCAGGCAGTGAAGCTCTCTGTGGGTTTACACACCCCATCACAACCAATACTAGAAGCTACACTGCTTGTGGCTACTGACTGACCTACCAGGCAATAACAGGACTTTTGACTACTGGGCATCTTTGTCTTCCCAGCAGTCTGATAATGCATGCTGTCATAAACTTGGGACCAGATATACCCTTTTAAGGAATCTGGAGGAAAAAAAAAAAAAAAGTTATAAAAATCCCTGTTTCATTCAACTGGGAAAAACAATTTCTTCCAGCTGGTGAAAATTTTTCTAAAAAATGGGTTTGTTCCAGTTCAGGCCCTCTGTTTCAGGAAGAGCCCTCAAATATAAAAATGTCCCGAAATCTTCCCATAAGTCAGAAATCCTGCTTTTTAGAAATCCTGAAACTCTGCTTGCCTGCATAAAAATCAGTCAGCAAAATGAACTACCCTATTAAGTCCCAAGAAGATGCATAAGAAAACCCACATAAGTCTTTTACCTTAGCTTGAAATCCCACAGAACCATGAAGATACCAGCTTAATGCTGTACCGAAAAGGAAGCTTTCTTGCTATTAAGCAAGTGCAATTTGCTCTTAAAAGCTATTAGGAGTTCATTGTACTGAAAGGACAAACTTAATTGTTTTCAGGGCTTTCTAGAACAACAGGGAAAGTTGCTCTTTCTTCAGTTACCCATGCAGGATATTTTCTTCAGCAACTTTGATTCTCACTGGAATTTCACTGATTCTTTTGACAATACACCAAAGAGACAGAGGAGCTCTCACTCCTTTCATGCTGAAAAGGTAACACAGCTAACAGACCGATAGTTGAATAAAGAAAGGGAAACCCTTTATTGAGCAAGGTGGTATAATATTCAAATGTAGTCACTTAAAACTAGGACTTATTTTAAATTAAGCAGAATACAGAAGGGAAGGCAAGAGAAGTTGCAAATACATTTCTACTTACCAAGCTCTAAATGCTCTGGAATACATTGAGAGCAAAGAGAAAGTTTCTGCTGTGTGTTAGAAGAACCACTAAATCTGCCCAAGTTTGCTCAGAACCCTTCTCAAAGAAAGCTGTGAAGAGCAGCTCAGCACACTAGAAATGCTTCAGCTACAAATATGTAATTACTGTGGGACACAAACTGCTACATTTGACTAACCAGAATTATTGCACATTCTATCTCTAAATCTCTCCTGCTGTCAGAACAGCAATGAACGTTTCAAAACTCTCTCAGGCTGCAAGACACCATAATATGCAGTTAACCCATCTCCAGTAAACAAGTGTGCAACTCCTGTTCATTCTTCGAGCTCCTCCCTCACATGTACAAGTATTACTTACTCCATGAAGGATGAGTCAGTGTATTTTGATACTTGCCTTTCCTTTAGGGATTTTTCCTGATACTTCTTTTCCACTTGCCATTAGTGCTCCCATGATCACGGAATAAGCTATCACACTAAAAGAAAAAAAAAAAAATCAAAACCAACAAACGAAATACAGTAAAAGTCTTTCCATAATGCTATTTTAGACTACAAAACAAATAGAATATAGTACTGTTTCACAGAAGACTAGTAAAAATTACTGTGCTAGTTACTTTATTTTAGAAGCAAAACCAAGCATGAAACACTTAAAAAGTGAAAGCACTGCTACTTTCCAACACCACTGGAATGAAGTTATGATCCTATGGAATTTAACTACTGAACAGCACTGTTTCTACAGTAGTCAGAATCATCATTTCAGACTCAGGAGTTCTTAAGACTCCACAGAGCTGAAGACAAAGCAAACTACTGTCCCCAAGAAGCTTAGCTGTAGCCCAGAAGAGTTTATGAACTCTACTGCAACAGAGCTAGAGGCACTGTAATGCTGTTCAGCTACTTAACTTTTTTTTTTTTTAATTTAATTGTATGTTTTTTTAATTGTGAAACTCAGAGTTTCTGTTAATTTTTACATTTGGTAAAATAAAGGTAATGTCTGATTATAAAACGAAATTCTCAGGATATTTTTAAATTTTCTACTGAACTGTGCTTAATAATAAGCTTAAAGATCTTAAGTGCTTTGTGGAACCAAGATTCATAATAGTTTTAGATGTAGCCAGGTTTGTATTAAACTAGAGTTTCAGCTGAAGAGACCTGGGACTTTATTCTAGGGTTTCATTTGGTGGCCCTAACAGTCGCAATAAATTACTAAAATAATATCTTAGTGTATTTTATTAAAATAAGTTATCTCAAAGTATATTTCATCTTAAATACATGTTTTGGTAAAGTTTCTTGAGTGAAATTACAGTGGTGTAACTTAATATGAATTAGGAACCCAAAGATTACAATTTAAAAATGACACTTTTCAATCTGTGAGCTGAAGTCTATAAATACAGATCACTCATAATTTTAAATATACAAGCAGCTATGAATAGTTACCATCAACAATTACAAACTAGGTTTTAAAACAGTACTAAGTTGGTACCCATCGTCATGGCAGCACAAAATGAGACACTGCAGGACACACAGCTCAACCCAGAGCTTTTTTAGCTTTTTTAATATTAAAAAAATATATTAAGATACAGCAACACATGGACACTTTACAGTGTGTATCCAAGATAACAGACACAGTAAACACAATCACTAACCTAGATCCTCTTGAAAGTGGCATTAAATTATAGAAGTAATAAACTAATGACAGGATCAAGTTGCAAACAGCATCTACTTCCTAGGCAAGAGGAAAATAAAAAGTGAATTAAAGATAATTTAATAGCCAGGTAATACCATTATAAAGGAACACATATTGGAAAGCCTTACAGTACTGTGATTTTTTTTTTTTTTTTTAAAGAACCATTTCAAATGTTAAAAATGTCAAGCTGAGAAGTTGAAGTCTGATTAACAGATGTTTAAGCAAATTATTTTGTTATATCTTTAAAATTTGGGTGAGACAGTTCATCTACACTGTGTTAAAGGATGAAAAATGGAAAGCAGAAGCTCAAATGTAGTCAGATTCTCATTGCAACAGAAATCAACACAAACACAATTCTAGTGCTTCTCATGAATTCATGTTACTTGTCATCTTATAGGTAGCCACCATGAGCCAAATCCTAAGCAATGCTTATAAAGATGATGAAACAGTGAATGCAAACCCATGTGGAAAACAAACAAACAAAAAAGGAACAAACTGTGATATTGAGGCCTTGTCTGGACTCTATTACTGCAGCAGAACATAGCAAACTTTAAAGTAACAAATAGAATTATGGCAACTTCTTGTGGTATTAGTCACAACTGAGCTTAAGTAATACAATTGACTGCTTGCTTAAAATCTCTGTCAAAAATTATTAGAAAAGTAACTGTTAAACTGAAGGTATAAAAACACAGTACAATTTTATCAAGGAATTCATCATTTCCATTAAAACAGCCTTACCCCTAGCTCTGCAGACAGAATTAGAATTTTTCCTTTAGCTGTTAGATCCTTATATAGCGCATCTATTTCTGCATGATACAGCTGTGTTCTCTCTTCTGTTGTCTGAGTTTCTACTGAAAATAATATATTCCCCACTCTATCAAGTGGATCAAACAGAAAAGGAGGTAAGAAATTTTTTAATAGAACTTGATGCATAATCTAATATCCAAGATAAGTTACAAATGTATTACAGTTAAATACCACATCACAACTTTTTTTTCTATCATTTTTCCTCAATCAGGAGATTATGTGCATTGCTCCCTTTTCAGTTAAAAAAAAAATACATCACTGAATTAAAAATGTTTTGTCACATTCTAAGTTTGAAAGAATGCATAAAGATTGCTGTCTAATCACAGATGAAGTATTTCCATTGAAGAATACCTGACAAGCATTAGTGTTTCACTTAAAGTATAGGTAAGAAAAATAAGAAATATGAAATTTTAATATATTGTCATGGGCTTGAGATTTTTGTATAGAATGTAAAGTCTAGTTTTGTTAACTTTTAGACTACCGAAATGGAATTGGTTTGGTGTGAAAGCATAGTTACAAACTATGGATCAAAACAGACTGACTGGTACAGAACAAAAGTTAGACCGTTTTACTGACACCAAAATATTTTCCCCAAAACAGTGAGGCCATATATTTAATGCTCTGTCACTGTACATAGGCATATGATTTAGATTGTGAAATTAAAAACCAAGACATATGTTAACATTTTAGAAAAAAAGTTTGGTTTCCATGCCACTCATTGGAAGCAAACAAGTTTTGGGAAAATTTCCAATGCATAGAATTTTAAATCCCATAAGGCAAACTTTTTGGTTAGTAGTAGGACAAAGCTTCCGATTAACGATCATTCTTCAGAGAGACAAGGAGCCAGTATCCATAAAGTAAGAAATTTACCATCTCACCCAAGGAGTGACCCGAAGCTTCCTGATTGTATCCTCACACATTCAGGTGCTATCTAAATTGGCATTTGCAGATAGGTGGTCTGCAAACATCTCAAAAATAAACATTAAAAAAAGGCCAAAAATTCAAATAGAATAGAACCTCTTCCATTCTTAGATCATAGAAATCTCCCTTCCATTCAGGACTTTTCAGTCACCATAACAGACAAGGTCCCACAACAAGAAATGTATTTTGGTATGGATAAAGACTGAGATTTTTGAGATTTTTTTCCCCTTTAGGCATTTTAAAGTCTCAGATGAACAACAAGGTCTCTCTTCACTTTTGTGCTATATTTTAGAGAATCATCTCAACTGGGCCTACCCCATCAATGTTATCCATATTCCCTCTTTGTTAGGGAACACAACAAGAATCAGAAGTCCTCAAATGAACAAATCTTTTAGCTATTTACAAAAATGCCGCTAGTGAAAAACAAACCTCACTTTATGCAAGTAGAAATGGCATTTGAGAAGATTAATTGCTAACACTTCATCATTACTTAATGTACCAGAAACCCTGAAAATAGCAAACATACTTATCTCCTGTTATTGTAATTGTGAATCCATCATATTCTTTCCCTTGATCTTTGAGGCTGGGGACTTTTGTGTTCACAGTAAATCCATCTCTTGTTTTACTGTTAAACTGCTTTCAAAAGAAAAAAATGTAATATTAGATTGAACAGAGACAGACTGCCTAGCTGTCATTTTGAAACACTCAAAATACATGGCGCAGAAGTGAAAATGGACAAAGTGAGGGAACAGGACAAAGAATTCCTGTCAACTACATTTCATTTATCCTTTATTTCCCACTGAATGGAAATCATAAATATTGAATGAGGCATATTGACATTCAACTTTATAACTATATAGCGAATATAAAGTGTCACTGTTTATGAAAAGCAACTGTACAAAGCAGTTTGGGTTGTACAGTTTTCTCCCCAAGTTGCATGTTGACAGTAACCTTTTTGGTGTAACAAGGTAAATGCAAATATGTATTCCTACATATGCAGGAATTTGAAAGCCTGTTTTATGTTTACCCTACGAAGTAGCTGTATTAATCTGAGTGTGGATTCCAGAATACAGTTCACAGCAACAATTTCTTAACTGTTAATATTTATCCTCATTAGAAGGAAAAATACCACAAAGTTTAAGAATTTTACAAAGCTACGTTAAAGTAAATGTAATACTGTAGCTAAAGAGTTATATAAACCAGGCAAAACTGTATTTAAGTAAAGCCAACAGCCCAGCTTTTGACATACAACATTCCTCAGCTACCCAAATAACCGAACTACATCGATATTAGCAGACATTCATTTTATACAGGCACTATTAATGACTATTATGCAATAGTGTTGAATTAATTACTTGGGAAATTATTTATTTTAAGATAGAACTTGTGATCCAGCATGTTTTGTTTAAAGATAATCTGCATTTATTTTAAAGAAACAAATCTAAAAGCCTCTAATGAGAAACAGCATTCCACTTAGATACAATTGGGAATGGGATACAGCAGATTCAAACCAGAGCAAAATGTACAGGTTATGCAAACCAGGAAGCATATTTGCTGCCAGTTGAGACATTTATTTTGAGATAAGTCATGTATGGTCCACTACATTTATATATTTTCATCATCTTGGAGTAACCTGTATTTTTAACTCCACTAATAGCATTTTTTCTGGCCTACAATTCAACAGTAGCCATATTATGTGCTCTGCAGAGCCCTGTTTTTACATTTGTGAGTCACTAGGGAACACCTAATTGTCTGTCCACCCCAGCATCTACTATCTCTTCATCACAAGTTTTTGTCTGGCTTCTACTTGGCTTCATCTTTCAAGGCCAAGAACAATACAGTAATATAAAAAGGACCTCCAAAATTATGGTATGTTCTTTGAAGACACTTACATTAGTAATACATATTAAAAAAAAAACCTCATAGAAAAATTTAGTGCTAGAGTCATGTAGCTTCTGTAAAGATATCTGCAGTGCACAAGGGAGTGAGCAATATTACCGTGAACAAATCCAAACCCAGACAGTCTATCAGTAGTAGCAGCAGTAAGTCTTCAGAGCGCTCTGTTCTATGGCAATGTCAGCTTTGCTTAGATATGAAATTGTAATGTGGACACACCCGACTAGGAAGCAGTGAGTTTGTCTCTATTTAGAATGAGTGTTTTTTCCCCAAATTTTATTCTATTTTAAATAAAATCCTGTCCAATCATTTAAAAATAAATACTTTGTAACAGTGTTTCCCCAAACCCAAATACTTACACACTGCTCTTCCTAGATTAATTTGGGGAAGTAAGGGGAGAGGGGGAAGACCTTTTACTTAAACACAGCTCAAGCCTTATTATTTGAGCTGAGGTCAGAGTATAAATCATTTTGCATGCCATACATCCAGTACCTTTCTATGAAGACTACTACCAGCAAGAAGAAAACCTGCAGGTTTCCCCACTCTTTTTCTGACAGTCTTCCAAAGCACAAGAACATAAATCAAAATTTCATTTCAAATTAGCTATCAGTCACTATGGGCAACCATTCCCCCATTTCCCCCTGCCAGCCCCACCACATACTGACCTGTACCAATGAACCTAAGGTAAAAAGAGCTTCCATATTCCTAATCTTTCAGACGCACAAATTTTTTCCTTCATACTGTACAGGCATACCATGAGCCCATTATGGCAGATCTGACCCATAAACCCTCCAGCTTGATAAGGCTGGCTTCAAAGAATTTTGTTTTCCCATCATTTCTTCACCAATTCAGGTAGGCCAAGCCTTTCAAATACACATCACATGTCTGCATATATGAAAGGGAAGGTGATACCCTACGTATGCAGATTTGAAATAACCTGAGTTAGTGTTTCCAGTTATTAATTTTAAGCTTACACACAATGGTTATATTCTAGGAGTTATCCAGTTCCTCAGAATATATTTTATTATCATATTTTCAAGTTTTTCTTTAATTTACCTTCATTATGGGAAGAAGATCTTCTACTTTATGTACCTTTTCCAAAGCTTCTCGAACCTCTAGTAGTCCTTTTGGATTATTAGCACTGGAAAAAAAATTAAATATGGAATCACAATGCTTGAACACATGTAGCATTACTGGTAATCCACCTAGCTTTAACCTATTTAGCCATAGTGGAATAAGTTATTCAAAGTTATTTAATTATTTCTTTTCTGAAAATTAGTTCCTTCATACTTGGCCCCATGCTCTCCTATTCTTCAAAAAATAATTTCCTCCTATATCAGCTCAGCTTATCCTTTTCAGCTTCAAACTTCAAATTTCAAACTTCAGGTTTATCTTATTCATTTGTTGTTGGCCACTCTAAAGCATTAAACAGTGTTTGCACGAGTGTGTGTGGGCAGGGGGTTGTTGATGAGGAAAGATGGAAGAATAACAGAGTTAATGTTAGAAGTATTCTCAGAATACATGCATCTGTGTAGCCTCAAAGGTATGTAAATACTTCAAATGCAGACACAGATGGACTGTGAAGAAACCTATTGAACTAGTGCTCTAATATTTACAAATTACTGTACACCCAAGATTTTAAGAACAGAATTATATTTAAAATCACAGCACAAATTGCTCTTGTTTAAGGTCACATGCTGTTGGCTCACTCTGAATGAACTTTCTCCCTATAGAGGATAGACTTCCCAGTTACTACAGAGTTTACGTATCTTCATCAACTACCACAAATTTTCTAAAACTTAAAATTTTTTTTTGAACTGTTATAAGCATTTTCTGTACTTTAATTTTTTTATATTTAAGTAGCATAATAAGATTGAAAAAGAGAACTCAAATATTTAATAGAAGTTACCAGGCCAAAGAAAAATTAGAGAGTTTAAAGCTAGAAGAGTTTCTTAATTTCTGACATTATCAGAACACTACTGCCACAAATGAGCCACAGGTGGGGAAGACATTTTACTCAAAAAACTGATCAAAGTTTGAAATGGATGCCAACATCAATTTTCAGATTACCTTTAGTCACATTCTTTCGTTCAAGATTCTACAACTGTCTTCTGTTCCAGGACAAAGTCTACCAACCCGTCTACGTAACAGGTAGTAAAGATTCTCCGCTCCTTTAAAAATACTTGTCAAACACCAGTTTCAACTAAAAATACCTTCCACATCATCTTTTCTTTTTTTTTTTTTTTCCTCACTTCTACCACTATTCAGAGAAACTGTACTCTATTCTACCAGGAAGAAACCAAATATCTTTAATAAATCATATTTTTAGGAAGAATTGATACTCACTCATGCCAAAACTTGGATATAAATTCAACACCGTTATTAGTTTCTAGGTATACTGTAATTCACAATGTTTTTTCCTATTAGTTTAAGTTTCTTTACATGGCAATGAATAGGATAAATAGGACACAGTTATAGATACTAATAAAACTAGAACTTACTACAATTAAGAAAATACCCCTTAGACTTTCTGAAATATTATGTAAATTTCAAATCAGTATTACCAGGAGAGCGAAGCAGAGAAAAAAAAAAAAATCACTAATTTACCCATGATAAACAAGGATCCTGTCTTTGATAAAATGAAGAATTTTCTCAAAATATTCCAGGTACCGCATATTAATGACCTGTCCCCTACAAAGAAAAGAAAAGTCTTTTCAAAGTTTTGGTTTTTCAACCCAACATTCCTGGGCTAAGACACAAATATTACTCATTAACATTTGACAGATTTTTATCCACAGATGCTTTGTAAATTGAAGGAAAGAACTAGAGGTTTGTCTGAAGTGGTGAATTGCCATCCGCCATTTGAATATAGATTCCATATTGAACTTGCAAAAGCTCATGTATCATTAGTGCTGTTCTCCGATAAACTACATTTCAGGCATAATTCCCCATTTTCAGTGTGCCCATGTCCAGTATATCTTATTTATATGGTAATTATCAATTTGTACACAGATATAATCTTTCTTAGACAGTTATTTACACTTGTAGATATTGCAGAACTAGGAGAGAATTCTCAATCTGCACATTCACTTACTTTGAGAACCAACACTCCCCAGTTTGCATAGTTGACAATATATGTGCTGATCTGCTCTGACAGTCCACATATATTTCCCCTTATTCACCTACGTCTCTCTTTATTGAAGTAATTTTTCTTCAACTCCTAACAGTTACAAGTAGTAACTGTTAAACAAAAACATCAAAAAGGTGTTGTTTTTTCCCTTGGATACTAAGGAAAAAATACACATTAAAAATGTGGTAGAAACCTGCTAGGATTGTAACCACTCTGAGGAAAAATTACATACCATTATTGCATTTGTAGGAGTCCTTCCTCTTCTCCCAGTCTACAAAACAAGATTTTATAAAGCAAATGTTATTGCTCTCCGCGGAAGCAAAACCACTGTCAATCACAGGAAGGTGTGTACACCTATCTTTTTTTCCCCACTCTAAGCGATTTCTGGCAGCTTAAGTCCCTGTCTAATCTCTCACTCTACAGTCTCATGCTTTAGTAGGCCTAGTCTGAGAATAATGACAGAATCAGTCTTTAAAAACTGAACAGAATTAGAACACGTATACATATCTGCACATAGGAAAGGGAGGGAGGGAAAGCAGAAGGATGAAGACAAATCTATATACATAATTTGCCCTTGTTGTACGTCCCATCATTTTCCATCTGTACTAAAAAAATATCTGTACAACAGGCAGAAGTGTGTCAGTATAAGGAACTGGATTTTCCTTTAGTGGTATCTTGGAAAATACATCCAAACCAGACCTATCAACCTGTAAGGCCATCTAGAAGCAGTAGTACCAAGAAAACACTTTTGGTGGGTGGTCAGAAATGATTTGTGTTTATTCCCACTCCTCCTCCTTGTTTGATAAACACTACCACCAAGAATTCAAAAGTAGCAGCATTCCAGAGAGCATCTTCATTTTTTTGGTAAGAATATTGGGTATATCATTAATGTTTAGCTGATCCCAAATACTTGTTTTGCCTATGAAAATAACTTAAGCTTTCAAAAACATTTTCTCTACCTCAAATTAAACTTGGTAGCTTTGATCATTTAAGCCAGAAAGGAGATAAGCCAAAGTTGCACTTGCCTATAGACCCATGAAGAAGAAGTAGTGACAGCCAATATACTTGTATCTTGAGAATGTTAAGATCTGGAAGCCTATCAAACACTGTGAAGTGCAAGAAGTTTCTTATACACCTTTAACAAAAGGTCCCCAAATTGTCTCAAAAACAAACAAAAAAAGGTTTTGTTTTCTGACAGTCTCCAAATATTTTGCACCTCTGGAAAAGAATCTTTAATTCAGCAGTCACTGAATGCTAGTGTCTCCATGCCAAGACCCATTTGATAGGAATCACTGAACAATAATGGCCTTTAAATGCAAAGAATCCTGAGTAAAGAAGAAGGTTATGTTAACAGATATCTAAACCAAATATTTTTGCACACAGAAATTACTGGTGTACATTTTAGACCAAACAAAACCTAGACACAGCTTGAACTCAGCATGACTAGATCTGTTACAAAGATAAATGTGGGTCTAAGAACACCCAACTGCTACTGTTCCACTTCTTATTTGACTGAACAGCTTATATCTTTGTATATTTAATAACCATGAAAGGCTGCCATTTGTCAGCCTAAATAATTTACTGTTATACCTGGTTTTCAGGTACCCATGCTATAGAAAGAATTCAGCCTTAGTCATACAGTTAGGAGAATAACTTTCAAGTCATAAGCCAAATATAAAGCAATGTATGTCTCCCTGAAAAACAGTCAAAAGACCATAAAGTGGTCTCAGTTATCAACAAAAAAAGTGTTAGCTCTGTAGCCTATTACTATCTTCAATCAGCAGCCATTTTACAGTTGACTAATGCAAGAAGGAAACTATACAGATCTGTATAATCCATTAAGAGTAAACTTCCATTTAGAAATCATAACGGACTAGAACATGCTTCAAAAGTAAAATAAAATAAATTTTAAAAACCCTATTACCACTTAATAGATTAATTTTTTCCTCCCTCATCTCATGTGAAATCACTGGGAGAGAAACCAGAAGCAGAAGCAAATCACTATGGAAAGCTGACCAATGAAATCAGTTATTACTTGGGATGCAGAATGATCAAACAAGTACAGGTTTGCAGAATCAAAAAGGATGCAATCACCATCCAGTACTAAAGTCTGATAAACTCCTAAGGCAGTGGTATTTACGCTGCTTCAAATCTATTGCTCCTTCCAAAAAAAGTGTCAAATCAATAATTTTCAGAGAACCACTACCTAGCTATTGAAAAAAGCACGACCAAAATGCTGATGAGATCCCCAAAAGTCAAGGCTGAGCCAAAACCAAAAGGTTAGAATTAGATTCACTGTGGGCCTACCATTCTGAATGTTCCTGAAGCTTATTTCAGGTTTCTATGAAATCACCAAAACACCTGGAACAGTAAATCATGTGTTTTGCTAGCATTCTCTGATGAGAGGAAAACAAATACGGTACTTTGGCCAGTGAAAAACAGAGCTGCTGACAGAGATCCTGTACAGGGACCCATTTCCCCTGATTAATTGTTCAATACTATTTTCAGCATGGTAATCAAGTGTTGTTACATGAATGCCCTACTACCAACACAAATCACCTAGAAATCAAGCTTTTACTCTCCCATTTAAAAAAAAAAAAAACAGGAAGAAACAGATGAAGTATGGAATGCATCTTTGTCTCAAAGTACAGATGGTTGTGGTTTCTGCTGCATCATACATGTGAGAAGAGAGAAATGCAGCAACATTTACTGCTGTAAAGACGGTCAGAGCTTGGAGCCCAAACGTAACACTTGGCTTGTGGGAAGACAGAAGCTTGCGCCTAAGTCTATTCAAGAAGCAGCACATCCTGCAAGGCAACTAGTGATCTGCACTGCAGCTTAACGCTACAGTGTAACCACTCACTAAAGTAAAGCAGAGGCTGCTTAGGGTCCATGCCCTAGAGTGGAAGGAAGAGCATGGACAAATTCTCATTAGGGTCTGTATGTGAACATTAGAATATCACTATTTTTCTCTGCCTGAAATAATTCTTGAGGGGGCTTTGCTTCCCTTACCCTCATTTTTCCACACAGCTTTTCAAAGAAAGAAAGAAATAGATATAAAAGCAGAATGACAGATCAAAGATTCAATTCTTCCTGGAGTGGGGGGGGGGGGGGGGGGGGGGGGGGATAAGGTGAAACCTGGCTACATATTTACTTACACAAAACCACTCTGCTCCTGTGATTGACAGTGATGTTGCCACATTGAGTCTCTCACACTTCTACCACTTCATGGGAGGTAGCACTGTCATAACTACAACACTGAGTCTTGCAGCATGGGAGAAGATGGAACGTACAACAGTGGTTGAGTCTTTTAAAATGCAACTGTTACCTTTCACAGGTTACTTATTTTCTCATTTTTGCTTTACTTTGGCCTGCTTTGAAAACAGAAGAGAACTGTTTTTCCTCTTTATTGCAAATTGGTATTAAAGCAAATAGAACAGCATTGCTTCATTACTGCTGCCACTATCTTTGAGAAGCAGCATTTGCAAAAACTACAGCTGTGATGAACTTAATCTAATTTTTACATTTAAGGTAATTTGGGAATTAAAAACAGCATGTAAAAAATATGCATCTTCTGGATCCTAATTAGATCTTACTATAACTCAGTTGTACAAAGAGGAAATGTCATGAGGGAAAAATTTAAGGTGTACAAAACCCAAATGTTCCATTTGAAAATATAAAACAAATATTAAAGCAAAACAATAAGCACATATACATTCAAAACTGTAATATGCTGTTTCATGAACAGCTGGTAAGTTTTGGTACAATTCCTTAGTGTGGGGGAGAAGGCTGTTTGGTAAAACTCCCATACCTGATTAAGTTAATGTGATTATTGAAACCTCTGCTAAGGCTTCGGGCAGGCATTTGGTCCAACCAAAGCACAGGCTGGTCAGGGTCAGCTATCCTACAAAGACAAAGGACATTAATATTGGCACACATTTCATGTCATGTAATATTTTTAATTGAGCTTTGCTCACACACAGAATAATTTTAGGCAAAAGTCAGAATTCAGAGATCACAAAAAAGAACATTTTTATTGGAACACATGTACAGTTTTCATAAGAAAAAAACCCAAATCATAAGCTTTTTATTGTTGCTGGAGTTTGAAACCGTTCTTTTTCTGTTAGCCTATGCTGCAATGTATCCTATGGTCCTTCACAGCTTTGCCTCAACCAGAAAGTGCTATTCCCCACTCTCTCCCTCTTCTAAAACAGAAAAAAAATGGAGTATTTTCAGAAGTGCACTCCTCATATTTAAACCATCCTTCTCTTTTATCAGAATGCTTTCTAGTTACAGAATGGGAGCAAGTCAAGTGTTCATTTTCTCCTCTGTGACTTCAGCCTTCTGGTTAACTGAAGCATGCATCGTTATTACAACCAACATAAGGCTTGTTCTCTCTCTTGTTTTACCATTACCTTCGCCACTTCACAGCAATATCAAACATATCTCTCCACTGCATCAGTCTGGTTTTCCCATTCATCCGAACTTTTGAGTTTGCCCAAGTCCGCTGCACTGCTTGCATTACTTCTAGAGTGGCCAGTCCCATTGCTGGGAGTGTGGGAGGCGGAGAGGGGGACAAAAAACAACAGAAACAGAAAACCAATTAGAGCCAAATACTTGTTTTTGTACAGATAGGAAAACTTAAGCAGGAAAGTGTTGTATTTACAGGAAATGAATTGCCAACATCAATAACATCTGGGAGATCATAACTTCCAGTCCCCAATTAGGTCAAGAAATTGCTGACATAATGATTATTTTAATTTTGAACTTTTTATCTGATTTGAAAGAAAGAGAGCATAAAACTAAATTGCAGATAGCAAAGGTATAGCATTAAATTATCACCACACTGATTTTTTTTTTCCCCACACACTTAAATTTACAGAGCATTTTCAATATACCTCTGTGTATTCTTTTATTTGGAAGAAATCCTGGTGTCTCATACTGCATCATGGAACCCAGATGATCAGCTACACATACAAGTTCTTGCACACCAGGCTTATAGCTTTCAAAGTTTTGAAATAACACATCCCTTACAGAAGAGAAAAACATGCATCAGATACAACTTGGCAACAAAAGCCCTGAAAGTTTTAAAACACAGATTTGTTTGTCTCATAATCAATACCATTTGTGTGAGAAATACATAAAAGCAGCATAAAGAACACTCATTCCTCCTCCCACCTCACCGAACATACACAGTGCATGGCAGTTACACTCAATATCTCAAATGAAATCCTAGTTTTACTGAAAATATGTATAAAAACCGGAAGCCTTATTCCGTAACTTCTCCCTTAAATTCTATAAGAACGTCTTGTGCTAAAAAGGTGGATTCTTCATTTCATATACACAAAAGCCATAGATTTTTAACTCAGCATTTTTTTACACTGATAAAGTAAATACATGAAAATATATCTAGAAACTAGTTTACAGCAGGAGAAATTGCTATCTTTCCCTTCACTATGTATTTTTGAAGCCTACTCTAATAAACCCCCTGCTTTGTTGACTGAAATCATCCTCCTCTTGAAACACTGGTTATCTAAATTACTCTGGAGAATTTTTTTCCCATTGAAACCCAGCTTCCATTAAAAATCTATTAAGTGTCTAGGAAATTACACCTATAACAAAAGAAAAACTTAACACGCAACAAGAAACTGTAATAAGGGTGCTACATAACACTACACTGAGCATCCCAAACTTATCAACTCCTTAATTCTAACTGCAAGAAAAAAGAAATAGAATAGTTAATTAGTAAGGCCATAGGATATGAAACGGTATTATGTAAACATTATTGATTTTGTGAAGTCAGAAGTGAAGAAAAATCACTCTAAGTTTCATTCTCCCTCTTTTGAGCTAAACCAACTACAATCCCTATGATTTTGACATTTACACACCCAGTGGAATTCCACTTTCACACAGTATTAAAGTGTTACACTGTTATAATGCCTCGGAATAACATTTTAAAAAGTCAAACTTAAAAAAACATTTGGCGTAGGCTTTGAAAAATATCACTCACTTTATATGTGGCTGTAACCCTGGCTGTTCTTCATAATTTTCTATAAGAAAAGGAAGATTTTTGGCCCAGTGGTCCTTGAAATTTCCAGGAAGATCTAGATCAATATTATACTCTGTAAGAGGGATATCCAAATGCGCATGCAAGTATCTAGAATACTCTGGAGGAAAGAAATAAAATTAAATACTGTTTGCATAAATAGCCCACATAAATTACATTAATTATATAAAAACAAAAACAAGATTATATGTTTGTCAGTTATCCAACATCACTTTAATAAGTCATTACTCTTAGATAATTTAATTTTTCTATTAGCTAATTTCCAAGACAGAAATAAGTCTATTTCAACTATCTATCACAACACGTTACCATTGTACAGAAAGTATATTTCACTTATGGTCCTAGTTTTTAACTGTATAAGAATCAGTGTGCTTTTTTTAAAAACAGACATACTCACCAGTGTCCATGAGAATGTACAATGGTTCTTTAAAATGCCCATAGCTACAAGTGTGCTTGCACTTTTAGGGTTCTCAAAGGACTTAAGAAAATTAAAAAAAAACACAATTCCATCTTACCTCGGAGGTATTTCACTTTCAGATATTCTGGGCTGGCCTTCTGACCCGGTAGCGGATCATTTAACATAACTTTAGTCTGAGCTTTTATGCCTTCGTAAAACTGTCCCATTGCAACATGGCTGAGACCTTTCATGTACTGGCACACTTCATTGTATGGTTCTAGCTGTAGACACCTCTAGGAGATTAAAGGAACAAAGCACCCATAAACCAAGAGGGAGAATGAGTATCTTCAGATAAACTAACCTGTTTGGTCAGAAGACCTGCATGAAAAGATTTACTGTTTATTAAGATCCATTTCCATCACAATTTTCTTTCAAATGATGCCGAGCACTTAAACTGCTAGCAAATCGAAGAAAAAATATGCAAATATGCCTCTGATGACACTTTAATTGTTATGAAAATAGATCATGTTTGCTCTAATGACA